TTAAATTTTCAAAATTTCAAGCGTGAATCTCACAGAAAACGGCAGATTAGAAGAATTTTGTTCTTTCATTGCATGAAACTAAAAACTGCAACTTGTCTCAAGTGACTAGGATGTTGGCATCTAATTCAACTTTATTGGATTAAATAATGCACTTTTTTCCAATTTTATAGTGTAACAATTGCAGAATAATTTCAATCTAACAATAAAAAACTTTGGAAATTTTAACCAAAAACCAAATCAAAAATTTTAACCAATTGGCCTTTATCACTGTGACTGTTCTTCGAAAATGCATTATTTATAATTTCACATCAGATTCTTTACATCATACCTCGCTGAAAAAACTAATTTAATTTGAATTCTTTTTTGTAGTTTTCAAAGACTGGTCGGAACCTCCGTTGCTATCCTTGCTTTTTTTGACTTTTTCTGGCTTAATTCTATAGAATAAATTCATTCATTAAATTTTCAAAAATTCAAGCGTGAATTTCACAGAAAACGGCAGATAAGAAGAATTTTGTTCTTGCAATGTTTGAAACTGAAAATTGCAACTTGTCTCAAGTGACTAGGATGTTGGCATCTAATTCAACTTTATTGGGCTAAATAATGCACTTTTTTTCAATTTTTATTGTATAACAATTGCAGAATAATTTCAATCTAACAATAAAAAACTTTGGAAGTTTTAACCAAAAACCAAATCAAAAACTTTAACCAATTGGCTTTTATAACTGTGACTGTTCTTCGAAAATGCATTATTTATAATTTCACATCAGATCCTTTTATCATACCTCGCTGAAAAAACTATTTTAATTTGAAAAAGTTTTTTTGTAGTTTTTAAAGACTGATCGGAACCTCCGTTGCTATCCTTGCTTTTTTTGACTTTATCTGGCTAAATTCTAATGAATAAAATCATTCATTAAATTTTCAAAATTTCAAGCTTGAATCTCACAGAAAACGGCAGATAAGAAGAATTTTGTTCTTTCAATGCTTGAAACTAAAAATTGCAACTTGTCTCAAGTGACTAGGATGTTGGCATCTAATTCAACTTTATTGGGCTAAAAAGTGCAGTTTTTTCCAATTTTATTGTGTAACAATCGCAGAACAGTTTTAATCTAACAAAAAAACCTTAATCAAAATTTAATCAAAAACCATATCAAAAACTGATTGAACTTTTGACGTGTTGATGGTTTTTTTAGGAGATATTTACTGCGTATTGGAAGTAATAAGAAACAAATATAAACTTGTCTCGGCCAAAACGGCATAGCAAACCAGCTTACATAAAGTTTTTCATCGGAGGGGGCGTTGTTTTTGGACAAACTTTTTCGAGAATACGGCTAGTCATTTCGACGTTTTGAACCTTAATGAGACCCCAGCCCCCGTTGCTAAACATCAACTCTACTCTGTGCTCAAATCTATTGTATAATGGAGCCAAAAGGGTCTTCAAAATCTTTTTAGTGGTAAATTCTCAAAAGCTGAATCTGATGCGGTAAATTACAGGCAACCAGGTCTGATGGACACCACTGTACTTAGTTGTAGGTAGAATTTTTAGGAAAAACAAAATTCCATCCCTTCCTGAAAACATGGTCAATATATCACCGTACTGGACAATTTTGAGACATTTTGAGCTTCTGGCTTTCGGTTTTAGAGGTTTTAAAAAACCGTCTTTTAAAAATATTTTGAGCAGGGGCGGATCAAGGATTTTTTCTAGTGGGGTTGTGGGTATTAATTTTGTCGAATTTTTTTAAAGTTTTTTTCCTCCCAAATCAGTATAAAGACCTTATTCTGACCAAATTTTCGGGGCCGCAATAAAATTTTTGGAAAAACAGGTCAAAAAGGACTTTTAGGCAGTTTTTGCACAATTTTGACTGAAAAATGGCGTTTTTTGGGGCGCGCTCCCGCTTCAAAATTAGTATATATTGGGGCCACTGGCGCCCTTAGAAAATTCGTAGGGTCAATCCGACAAAAATATCTCAAAATAATACAAAGTGTGGACCCTTTGGGTCGGCAGGGGGTCGAATCCCTGGAAAAAGGCGTCCAAACATCCCCCCGCCCTCCCCCTAAATCCGCTGGTGATTCTGACTCATTTGATGCAGCAATAACAAAATGTAAGGAAGAGCGGAAAACAACACGTAAAAAAGAGTTATTTTTCCACATTACATTAGATAGGTTGATAACGTCATTCTTTTAAAAAGCTGTTTTGAAAATTAAATTAATGATATTGTCTTGAACGCTTTTTATCCTGCTGTCAATCAAAAAACTGACTAGATTAAAAGACGCTGTTTGTTTTTTGTATAGGTTTTCAGTACAAAATCTTCATGTTTGTTAATTATGAAGTCGGCACTTCGAATCATACTCGTCGCATTTTCCAGATAGAATTATTTAGATTTCATTCTGAAATGGCGCCAATGCCCTCATAGAAGCACTAAATGGCATCTGACAATACGTTGATCAAATAAAAAAATACCTATTTGAAAGAAGCTTTAAATCAAAATGTTTTAGGGCAATTTTAGCAAAATTTTATTTTTCCTGTTTTTCAATGAAACGGGCTGGTAAAAACGCTGAAGTGAAGTACAAATTTTTAAACAAGAATAGAGGGTTTGAGTGTAAGAAGCACAGAAATTTTCGACCACAACACAAAAGTCTTGAAGCAGTTTTTTTTCAAATTGAGTTGTTTTTTTTTTCGTGGTGTGATGGAAAGTTCTGAAAAAAAGCGTAGAACTTAAGCAGGGGTGGATCTAGGATTTTCTCGAGGGGGGGGGGGCGGATTTTCAAAAAAAATGTCAAAAATTTTTTCGACCTTTTTCTTAGGTCGACCAAATTGATTTTCCGAGCTCTCCCAAAGCCACTACAAAGGCCCTTTTTTGCCAAAACTTCTACGCCGCAGGCAAAATTGTAAAAAACAGACCAAAAAAGGCGTTTTTAGGCCTTTGAAAAAATTAGTATTTATTGGCGCCAAAGGCGCTTTTAGAAAAATTTTAGGGTCCGTCACCAAAAATGGTTATCTCAAAATAGTACAAAAGGGGGACAAAAAAGTACCCCTAAACCCGCCCCTGAACTTAAGTATACTTGACATTAGTAGTAGTTTAAGCATATTCGACAACAGTTTTCCTCGATTAAAGAACAGAAAAACAAAACAAAAAATGTTGTATATCACTTCCAAAGTTTCCTTTAATCAAAGGCAGGCCTTACAAAAACTTCATAAATTATTTTTATTGAAGTAAAACTCAATTTTCACGGCTTAATTAAAACTTCATTGCCGTATCAATTGATCATTTAATAGTACCAACTGAATACTTTTAAATTTTGTTTTCCTTTCAGTTCTAAAATTTTTCAATAGTGAAAAATTTCTATCCCATTGCGAAAGCGAAATATTTCAGAAGAATGCACTTGAAAATTTTGACCGAGTGGTTTTAAATATTGAATCATTTTTTTGTTTTTTTTAGTTGGTTGGCACAAAACCAAAAAATGAAGGAATAACAATTTTTACAAACTCCTAGGTTGTCTTTTGAAATTTATTGTTTTTGGTTTCGACTTTCCAAGAAAGAGCGGAATCATTGTGCTCGCTTTTTTCTCCAGTCGGTTACTTCTGTTTTTTGAGCTCACATTTAAAAAAGATATTTCACCTGCGAGTTTTTTATTAAAGTTATGTGAGTTCAAGGGTTAAAGTAGTGCCAATTTGAGATAATTAGCGCGCGATATATTTTGCGCTATAAACGCGTCAGCGGGGATTAAACCTGTGTTAGAATTTTTTTTAAATTGAAACGAGGTATGCTATTTGCTCTTTTCAATACTTAGCTTTTTGCGATATTAATCACTTTTTACTTTACATAGCATGTGGCGGGATAATTTTTCAAAAATCCCAAAAAAAAAATTCAAGACATTTGATTTTTTCAGGTTTTCATCAATTTGTTTAAATTGAGCAGCAGACGTTAAAAAGCAGCCGGTACTTACAGGGTTTTGCTTTTATATGAACAGTTTTATTTCTTATTCGAATTTGTTTAATTGAGCTGGCTGATCTTTAAGCTCGTCGATTCTTGTCCATCACTTGAAACTTCTGAAACAATGTCTTTAATAAACCACTATTTCAAAAACAGAAAATTTTTCAGCGAAACGTTTATTAAGTTTTGGTAATTTTTATAAAAATTTTCTTACTGAAACTATCCAGTGTTCTTTTGATTTTTTGGCTTTTTTCTTGAAACCTTAAAACCACAAAACTCCCAAATTAGACATAGTTTCCCACTCAATTTTGCCGTGAACTTTTGAATAAATGAAACACATCGCATACCCTTAAAGAAATTGCAGAAATTGTTTTGAGCGGCAACTCCAGCAAGTTTTCAATTAAGTCTTCAATTAAGCTTTATCAACCAATTCAACCGGCGATAAATGCAATACTTATTTGGTTAACGTTTTTGATGGTTTGAAAACGAACAGTTGGTTTATATTTACTGTTTTACAATCACTGAGTGTTAGAAAAAATTTGAACTTCGGGGTATTTTTTCCACGTAAGACAAGATATCACGTCTTTGGTGGTCAAATTATATATCATGCAGCAGAACTTCCAGTCGTGTTTCTGTCAGCACTAGAAAAAAACTTGTCCAATAAAAAATTATGAGCAGTAAAAGTTTTGTGGTACCCGTAAAAAACGGTCTCAAAGCTTTTGCAAAAAAAATTGATTCACTCTGTGCTCAATTTTGTAAGTCAATGAATTGTCAAAAACCAATTTTCAATAATATTGAAAATTCTTGGCAATACTCCAGAGACATAAACTTCACCTACCCAATAGAGCGCTTGTCCCGGTTGGAGCGCTTGTAAAATCTAGTGCTTGTAAAAAAAATCAGAAAAAATGTATCTTTCTATTTAGTGTTTTTCTTGTGCAAAGATGACTGTTCAGTGCAAAGATGACTTTTGTCGGAACATTCGCTGCTATTTGCTCAGTAACTGACTGACAGCTCTTATTTGTTCTAGATTGTTCGCAAAAACTGACTGACAGTTCTTATTTGTTCTAGATTGTTCCAACCGGGACATGTTCTTTGTACCTACTTGGCCCCATGGCTGTTCCACTGATGGTATCAAGATGATAGACTTCTCACACAATCTCATCGCTAGAGTGGAGGCGGAGACATTCGACACATTCTCATGTCCACACCAACACAAACGACAACAGCTCATATTGGACTTCTCGTAAGGAAATTCATCTTACAACTTAGACGTTTACGCTGTAAACGCAGTTGCAGATTTATAGCTGACGACCCTCCCCACCCCCCCCCCCCCCCCACAGGGGCTTCGACGCAGTTTTTTTGTCGAAACTGTCCGAAAAGTGCCTAAAAACGCGTTTTTTTCTTCGAAGTTTGCTTGCGGCACAAAAATTCTGACCAAAACAGGGTCTTTTTAGAGCTTTGGCAGAACTCCGAAAATTAATTTGGTCGACCCTAAAATATTTATAGCCCAACCCTCAGCCCTTAAAATCTGAACGTGAGCAAACACCTAACACCAGTAGTTTAGAAGTCAGCTGGTTTCTATTTCGATCGCCAATATTCGGACAGTTTTTAATTTTATAAGCTTTTTCTGTCTAAGCGCAACCAGATTCATTCATTTAACCAGGCCTTAAATAGTTAGCATAGCGGGCCTTAAATAGTTAGCATATTTTAAACTAATAATGGTCAAAAGTTTGATTGCGTAAGACCAATTTCTCCGAGGGAAAGGAATTTTTCAGCTCATTGTAGAGAACTCTTGTTCCCCTCAACTGTATGCATGTTTTTTGTTATATTTTGAGCTGATTTATGTTGCTTGACCCTCAATAAACAATATGCGAGTCATTGTATTCTTAGCACCCTTTCAATTACAAGACGGAGACTTAATCAGAGGCATCTGAAAATGAATCTGTAGATCCAAGGGTGATATCCCAGGCAGTACTACTTTTTAGTAAAGTGTCATTTCTAGCAGGGGCTCCCCCTCAAAATTAGTATATATTGCTGCCAGGTGCGCCTTTAGAAAAATTTGAGGTACGGTCAGCCAAAAGTGGATATCTTAAATTAGTATGAAAGGGGGGCCCTTTGGGTCGTCAGGAAGTCGAATCCCTAAGGGAGGGAAAGACGACCGCGCCCCCACTCCCTAAATCCGCCCCAGATTTCTAGCGAACTTCTGTTTATAATCTGCCTGAAAACAATTTATAGTAATTATAATATATATCTTCCTCTGACACCTCTATTCATTCTATGATTTGTTTCTCTATTCACAGACACAACCGAATCCACTCATTGGACCACATAGCTCCGTTCGACTGTGTGGCGGAACTGGTGCTCTCTCACAACAGACTAACAACATCCTCTTCACTGAGTAGATGGAAGTGGTCCCAATTCACACACCTGGTCAATCTACAATTGGCTTCAAACAGAGTGACTCATCTCACGAGTGCAATATGTCAAGCGGCCAATCTCAACCAAATTCAGGCTAGAACTTCATCAACAATACAAACCAAAAAACATTATTCTTATGTTAAAATTCGTAAAGTTTTAAATGCTAAATGATGTTAAAGTTCGGTAAATCTGAATATTCAAATTGTCTTACCAGAAATTTGACTGCTGATTTGTTTTTCTACACATTTTTCTGGTGCGCGCCGAAAAGGAAAATTAAAAAAACTTGCTTTAGAAAAAAAACTTCTTCGCAGAAACTTTTGCTCAAATACAATAAGATCATTCTCGATAAAGGAGACTTTCGACAGATCAAAAAAAATCGAAGTAACTGACCTAAAAAGTTAAAATGATAGAAAATTTTTTTATCACCGTGCATATCTCAATTTTTCAACGTGGATCATATTATACCTTCGATATGTTTATACTACTCGATTTGTTTGAATTGAAAAATTTAATAGCAAACGATTCCAAATGTTATCAATTTTATGATGCTTCAGGTTCAAAACAACCCGCTAAAAAGTGCCAGTGAGTTAGGATCCCTTAGAAACTGCATATCTCTGATCAAAGTTCAAACTTCATTCAAATCTGTGCCCTGTAACTGCAATATTATCGCGACCTCTAGCAACAAATCTTTGCCTCTTCAACACAACTCGTACGCCTCTCAGAGTTACAAGTTAAGTTCAGATTTGCGAAGGACGAAATGTAATTCTAAGAGTACATTGCCCGTAGAAGTTGGAACTGCGGTTGAAATGATTTCACGCGACTTGATATCTTCAAACTGCAAAGCTAGTTCTTCAGCAAGTCTGCTCGAAGTTCAGCATTCTGTTCAGATTCTTTTCAGTGTCATTTTCTGTACATGGATTTGCTTGTTCATTTAGCTGCCATTCATGATTATATTATATAGTTTAATATGTCAAACAAATAAGTATATTTTGAAATGTTTGAGTTTAATTTTTGAAAAATGAATTTTAGCAGCCGTTGAAGGTTGAAATTAACAAGTTGTTAGGGAAAAATCCGTTTTGATGGTATTATCAGTTCAATTGACCTCTTTTGAGTTTTGTGCTTAACAGTTTAAATAGTTCTCAAAATAATCAAATGTTTCAATTATTTGTAAAGACAGCTTTTAACTGAAGTCTCTCTGGGAGGAACCTTGATCCAAACATAAAAATACAGAGTTCCTATTTGTGAGCGTTTCCAGCATGTTTTGACTGCGGAAGTAATCTGCTAAATGAGCCTTGAAATGATTAGAGGAAATGGTTCCAGTTGTTAAACTCCAATTGAGAACATCTGCACACTTGTTACCATTGTTAAACTGTTTAACATGGAAGTGGTGCACACGAAGATACATGCGTAAGCCAAACCGTAGGAAGCTTACGTAATTTTCTGAAGTTAACTATGCTATTTTACAAAACTAAGATCAATCACCCCCTTCCACCGTAATGACCAATTAAGCTATCTCCTAACCCCCCCCCCCCCAAGCAGAAACAGCAGAAAATTATTGAAGACGTTTTCAAACGCAAGCAGGTAGTTGAAGTGAAAATAGCTCTCGATCAATAATAGGCCGAATGAAAAAAAAACTAAAATACTTTCAATTTTTTTCCTGAATTTTTAATTGAGCGATCATTACTTCAAGTCAACCAAGTGACAAGGGTCGGTGCTTTGACCTCTATTTATGCCAAATGAACATTTTTATTCTTCATTCCAACAGGAAAAAACCGGTTAACTATGCGACTAATTTGGCCAATTTTTTCGCTCTGAATCTAGTTTTTGAGTTTTCATAATGTGATTTTTGGTTATCCGCTTTTGTTGGAGAATCTGGCGTTTAAATTAATACAAGTGTCAAGTATGGAATGAGAGGAATCCCTAAACTAAGTATTCTAAATAAAAAAGCCGCCTCGGCGTAAATTGATCACACAAAATCTACAAAATTTTTGAAACTAATTCGTTTAAACTGCTAAGAAATAAACGATTGGAAATCAAAACATGTCAAATCGTTCAGGATATTGATCATACAAAAATCATCGTGCGAACTATGACTGTTTACTCTGTCCAAGAATTCACTTCATGTTAGAGTGCTGACTGAAATTATACCAAAAAGAAAAATGAAATCTGATATTTAAGTCTCGGTTTTCTCAAATTGAGTTGACTTGACAAAACAGAACTATTATGGCACAATTAATTTAGCAAAAACTACTGGGCCCAAACGTTTAATCTCCAAACGGATCATTTTGATTTTTTTAGTCAATCATCAAAAACTTTATCGAAACTACCGGTTCATTGCTGACAAACTGTATCAAAGTGGATCTCTAAAGTAGCCCAATAAAGTTAAGAAAGGTTTTCTTCATGTTTGTTACAGTATTTACAAAGTATTCAGTTGTTCTACATATTTGTTACAGTATTTACAAAGTATTCAGTTGTGGCTGATTTTTTTTCTGCAATTCATTTAGTTGAGCGTTTGTTCGTTAAGCTTTTTTTAGTTAGCTTACAGATATTGGCTGATATGGTCCGCTGATGATTCGCAGGAATATAAGTTATTAAATTAAAACCAATCTAACTAAATCTTTGACTTTCAATTTTTATTTTCTTTCTAATCAAGTGACAAAGATTTGTATCCGAGTTGATTTTCTAATTCTTAGCGATGTAAAATAAAAAAAACAAGACTGCTCGTATCAGGGCGAAGACCTGAATGTTCCGAGTGCATTTTGTTTTCTATGGAGAGATTTGAAATACATTTGACGAAGTGTTCAAAAAACTTCATTTATAAAAAACTTTTTGAGGATTTATTTTATAAAATTATCCTCCTAAACGTATGTATAAAGCAAAGAGATATGTTATGCATGTAGCAAAAAGTGGCTAGAACAAACACCATTCCTCAACCCAATTTTTAACATTTTCTAAGACGGATCGAATATTTTACGCATTAATAGCAGCACGAAATATATCGCGCGTTAAATGTACCAAATTGGGCAAATTGTCAATTTTTAAACCCGCATATCTCTGCAAAAAATGATTACAGGTGAAATATATTTTTTTTCAATTTGAGCTCCGGAAAACTTTTCCTTCAAAGAATATAAAAAAATACGTCAAAAACTGCTTTGATCAATTCTCACTTATTTCAGCTGAAAGTTCAAACAATTTTGATTAACTTTTACGATGAAATAAATACTTTGTATGAAAACGAATTAAAAATTTCTATCTATACCAGAGTTGGGACATTTTTCTTGAATCAGCATTTTTCAAACGTCAAAAACTTCTAAATTTTTTCAGAAAAAAAACAACATTGTTCGTACATCAAATCCAAGTCTTGAATTTTATTCAGTTTTATGGTTGAAAATTTGATGATACTTTCAAAAAGAAGAAAAAAGTTTATTTTTCTTTTTTTTTAATTTACCCCCTCACACGCTAATGTTAACCCTGAATGGGATTGTTCCAACGTTTTGTATCCTTAAAACATGACCAAACGAGTTGCCTTTATTATTTTTGGAAAGAAGTATTTCTCCGCTTACGCGTGTTATAAGAACGCAAAATATCGCGCGTTAAATGAAGCAAGTTGGCTAAATTGGCAAACTTTTAACCCTCATAACTTAATGAAACATAATTACAGGTAAAATATCTCCTAGTTTTGCGCTCAGGAAAAAAAAATTTTTCTGATGTATAAAAAATCCGTCGAAAATGCTTAGTCAAAATTTCGAAAAATGATTGAAAAAAAAACATCCCAAGCGTAAATAATTCACACTTTCTTTGAAAGTCGAAACAGAAAATACAAAAGAAATTTTTGTCATTTTTTTTGAAGTTTGACAAGCATGAAATTGACTCATCATTCCATTGGATTGACTGGAGCAAATTTTAACTGGAAACGTTGCTCTATATAATTTGCGCTGAGTAAGTAGTAACATGTGAAACTTCCTCCGTCAGGTATCCAGCGGGGAAGGAGTTAGAGACAATAAAAGCCGCTATAGTTGTCAAAACAATAGAACCTAACATGAAATCCATATCACTAACTGATGAAACAAAAACAGTTGAACGGCTTGGTCGAACCTTCGTCGAAACTGACAGTAAACTCGATATTTGATAATTTGATTATTTTTTGCTTAAAAATACCAAAAAATTTGTGTAATAATCAGAAAATTAGGCTGTAATAGATAAAAAATTTTGACTTGTAAAGTTCAAAAATTTTTTAATTACTGCACAAAAAAGCCCAAAGTAGCGTTTTTACAGACATTGCACTATACATAATCGTCAAGATCACATGGAAGCAGTCGCCGATGTATGATTGCTTATTATAATCCTCTTACACGTTGCGGATTTTTCTTGCAGTTTGTGGAATCCAAATTATGAGATATTTGTTTGAGGATTCCATAAAAACTTGGTAGATGCATTGGTAAATTGCAAAAATCTCAAATTAAGCAAACAATTTCAGGCCATTTAGCTTAATACCAATTTAGCTTAATACCAAATTTTAGCTTGACCAATTAAAAAAGTTGCAGATTGCAGAAACATGGGTTTTCAAGCATTGCCAGATCAGAAAAAAACTCAAAAAGTCAATTGACCTAAAAACACCCTAAGCACAATGTTCCAATGTTTTTGTTTCAAATATGAGAAAATAATTGTTCTTATTTAGTACTGAAATTGGACAATTGCTAGGCTAATTATTTAAAACCTAAATATACAATCTCCTTCTGTAACAAAACAAATGGAATCGATTTTTTTTATTTTAAAAGTTGAACATAACTTTCCGCTTATGAGTATGCTAATGAATATTAACTTCCAGCTAATGTGATGAATTTGAGTAGTTTTCGTCATTTCAAAATAGGCATTAATGGCTCCAACTCAATGGCAAAGATGACATTTTTTGAACGCTTTCATGCAACTGAAAATGTCTGCAATTTCATACTGACATTTGATGACTGCAATAAGCGGAACTTTCAACCTTAGTTTTGAGGATATCCGGGACTTCTGGGGACTTTTCATCTTCAGGATTTTGTAAAGCACAGTCGCGAGATCTAAAAGCTTAGAAAGCTTTGCTTTAATCCAGTAAAATCACCAAGATACAATAAAGTCTCGACACGATATTTTTATGGCTTTTTGATTGCTCCTCTAACTTTCCTAATGTGGAAATTTGAATGAATTCAGCTAATTTGCGAAAAAATTGCAGAATTAAAATTAACTAGAAAAATCTGATTTCTGGTCAAGATAAGTCGAACAATGCATCGCATGAAGAGTTTGGATTTGAAGCAAGCTTGAGAAGAAGTGTGAAAAGAACTTTTGAAGAAATTGCAGCTTTGATGGAATTATGGTTTTTTGTTTTTCGACACGATAATGATTTGTTGATGATCATTTGGAGCGACTACAGAAAATGATAGTTTTTTTTCTCACATCAGAAAATCAAGCAATTGAACATGATGGAATTCATGTTTAAAGAAAAAAAATTTTTTTGCACTAATCGTGATTGGAATAGTCATTTTTCTACTAATAACAACCAAAATACAAAAAAGTATTATAATGTGGGAAGGTTGTATAATAGAAAAACATGGAAAGCAATTTGTGATGGAAAGGCAAAAGCTGTTTTTTTTTCATAGAAAAATCCCAAAAGCGTTCTTAATCTAATCAAAAATTTTTTGACGATTTCAAAAACCCAGATATGAAAATTTTTTTTGAATCTTTTTGAATTTAAACTAAGAGAGTTAGTATCTTCATTGAAGAGTAAATTGTTTTTACTGAAATCTATCCATTCGTATGAGTAAAACACCACCGCAGCCCAAAGCATATATAATCTCCCCATGTTTTCAGAAACTAGAACAAATACGTATATAGCGCACGTGTAATTGACCCAAATTTATTGAATTAGCAACGGTTATATTGCTATAATTTTTGCGAAAAAT